ATGGACGACGGGATGATTGAAAATGAACACAACGGAGATCTAGTCCTATTGGCAGACATCCATTTAAAATGTAGGCAACGGCATGAAAAAAGTGGTTTCTACTTTTACTTTTATACTTTAAGTAAATTTACAAGCCTGTACTTTGTTACTTTTACTTGAGTTAAGAAGTTTAAATAGTACTTCCACTTTTACCAGAGTATTTTTTAACGCAAGTAACTGAACTTTTACTCAAGTACGGAAAGTGAGTAGCCTACTTTTGCCATCTCTGACTATTAGAATAAAAGGTTGGACTTTTCAAAAATGTTTCAACTGAGATTAAGCTGCTGCAATATTAATGCAAACAAACATCTGGGAAGTCCCACGCACAGATCCCTCTGCCTCACCAGGTCGACCCATGCCGATTTTCTCCAAGTCTTCATTCTTGACGTAGTCAAAGTGCGAGAGCCGTGTGACGTTGAGGTCATCTCGGATCCTCTTGAAGTACTGCTGCAGCTGCACCTCCATCAGCAGCTCCAGCAGCCATTCTGTTCCTTCCTCACACTGCATGCCACTGCCCAGTTTCTAAAGGACAATTAGGAAAAAATAACCCTGGATGTCAGTCGGTCAGTAATGACTACATATATGCCTCTATAGTTCCTAAAACAATCCAAAAATAAAAGCAAACCATTCTTTTCTGCAAGAAAAAAGAAGGAACTGAGCTCACAGCTGGCTTCCTCTGCAGCGATTGTTTACAGCAGCCTGGAATACAATCCAGCTTAGATAAAACTAGGGCTGCAGCTAACATTTATTTTGCTAATCAATTAATCTCTCGATTATATGTTTGACTAATCAATTAATGTGGCTTCTTTATGTAGCCACAGGTTACATAATGAAGACTTTTTAAAGAATGAAACTAGGTGAACCCAAACGTTTTCCACTTGAGTTCTGCACTGCAAAAACGATCTAGAAATAAGTAAAAATGTCCTTAATTAAGTGAATTCACCCTTAATTTGAGTAGGTTTGCCAATGGAATGAGTGATTTTACTCTTAAAATAAGATAATTAGATAATATGCACTTGAAATAAGACAATGCAATAGTGTTTTCTTATTTTAAGTGTAAATTGTCTTCATCCAATGGCAGAATGTCTCTTTTACCTCCTTAATTCAAGAACAAATGCATTTATTTTAAGAAAAAAGTGTGAGCGAGCATATGGATAGAGCATATTGACAGATTCAATAAATTAAATGCTAAATGTTAATATATTTTCTTACAATTTTGGTATAATTACTGCTCTAAGTGTGTTGCTGATAGCTAAAGTCATCTTTTACAGTTTCTATACTTCACTTAACGATTATTTCCATACATTTTCATGATTAATCTGGTTAATTATTTGAGTCATAGATATAACACAAAAAAAACTAACACTCATTGAAAATGGTAATCAAACATCCTTCAAATCCTGACATACCCATCGATCGAAAATTGGCCAAAACGTCATTAAAAAGACAACATGATTAACGTCCAAACAATGTCTACAATTGGTTTAAAGTGAACGGTGAAAAGCCATAATTTTCAGATCATTGAAAAGATATTATTGAGATTAACTGGGACAAAATCAGGTCAACCAAACACAGCCCAATTTTCAACAACTATTTCTGAATCAGAACTATGACGGACCAACCAAGTTTAGCCTAAAAAAACAACGGCTAAATGACGCCTGGAGTTTGGGGGGTGCGTTTTTAACGTTGTAGCATCACATCCTTTTTAAATGAAAAAGGAGAAAATCTAAATGTTTAAAAAGGAATACATTTCAGCAATTAAAAGCTATCATTACAGGAGTTTAAACATCACTATTGCAGTAGTTTAGCATGATCATACGGTAAGAAAGACAGGGGCACAGTCAGCTTAAATTTAAATTGAAAAAACTTTAATAATCCTCATTGGAAGTTAGATGTTGTAATACAACTCCAAAAGTTTAATCAAAAGCTGTTAAAAATGATGATGTTTAATTGTGATTGACTAGGGCGTTCTCTTTACGCCATCTCCAGAGGCTGCAGTTCTGTCCATCAGAATAGAACCTTTGTTTTCAGCCCGATTGCCTTTTTATGGTGTTTTCACTCATAATGTGTTTATTTAGTTTAAAACTAACCAGCCAGTTTCTCCCCTTAGAGCAGTTATTTTGTATAAATGTGAAAATGCTGGTGAAGATTCTCAGTCATCAAGGTTAGTCATTCCACAAAAAGTATAAAAAACAATCAACTGGACTTTGTTTCCAAGTTTGAAGACATTTCGCTTCCCACCCAGGCAGCTTTTTCAATTCAAAATGTCACTTGTTGTGGCTCTTTGTCATATTTACATTTTAATTTGCTGCTATGTCTGTGTTAATTGTTTCCATAAAATGAACTTGGTGGTTGAATTTTGAAGAATCTAAGTTTTCTAAAGATGTCTAACGTGTCTAAATTAATAAAATTCAAATGTTGTAATTTTCATGCGTTCTGAATCCTTAGGTGAAAATGCATAAAACATTTTGAATTGAAAAAGCTGGATGGATGGGAAGCGAAACGTCTTCAAACTTGGAAACAAAGTCAAGTGGATTGTTTTTTAACTTTTTGAAATGTGAACATGCAATTGCAGTAAGGTGCAACTCAAAACAACATCTGAAGACTATTTGGAAGAGATGCAGCTCGAATGAACAGTTAATTTATGGTGTGAATGTGATCCCATCTTAATCGGACGCATCCACCAACTGTTGAATCCATCTTTGAATTAAATGCCTTACTAGGTTTATATTACATTGCGGGACATGCTAGAGTATCCCAACCATGTGTTGTTTCAATTTTTTCCCAATAAAGGGGAACACCGTTTTTTTTTTTTTTACATTTGCCCATTGATTTTACGTTATTACATCATGTTCTATTCACCCATATGAGTTTTGTGTCATTTTGAGCTGTTCCGAAGATATTCCGTTTTGTAATCGAAGTAACATCTTCCTATGGGCAACGAGTTAAAGGCATAAACTAAACTGTTCATAATTTATTCTTTATGGTAAACCAGCATTCATAACATGTAGGCGAATCACTGTCCCCCAGACATCCGCAGTTATATTTTTCAGATTTATATATTTTTTAAACACAGGGGAGTGTGTATGACGTCATCCACGCATGCCGGCTACCGTTCATTCATCCTGTCCGCTGAACTGCTGCTAGTTTTACTCACATGCCTGGAAGATGTCTAGTGCTACTACCACAGATGATCTCGCTCTCGAAATGGAATTGAACGATTCAGATTAGCTAGCCGAATGAATAGAAGGGGTAGAGCGTAGCCGCCTGTGGCCCGGGCTGCCTGTCACAACTCCAGTGCGGCGCGCGGATGACGTCATACACACTCCGCTTTGTTTTAAAAATATATAAATATAAAAAATATAACTTTGGCTATCTGGGGGACAGTGATTCGCCTACATGTTATAAATGCTGGCGTACCATAAATGATAAATTATGAACAGTTTAGTTTGTGCCTTCAAGTCGTTGCCCATAGGAAGACGTTACTTGGATATAACCTAACGGAATATCTTCGGAACAGCTCCAAATGACACAAAACTAATATGGGTGAGTAGAACATGATGTAATGACGTAAAATCAAGGGGCCAATGTAAAAAAAAAAAAGGTGTTTCCCTTTAAATACCATCCAACTTTCAAAATATATTCTTAAAAGGAATATCAATTCTGCTCAGATAATTTTGCCTAATTTCGAACCAGAAAAAATCCAGTATGATTTAATTTTCTGATCTAGAGAAGCACAGAAGTCCGACTAATTCCTTTGGTTCTCTCGCCCCAAACATCTGACCAATAAACCGCCTGAACCACCTGTAGTTTGTAATGATGAGTTTCCTTCTGCCTAAACAGAAACCGAAACCACAAGGAAAAGTGAGAAGCTAAAAAAACCCAACTCAGTAAACAACTGTAGGTGTGAAATCACATTAAGTCACAGACCGTGCTGCTGCAGGAAGACTCCAAAACAATATGACAACAATGCAGTCATTTTCATAGACGCCAACTGAAAATATCACCGATCACTCTCAGGTTAACGCCCCCATCAGAACATACCGTCGCATTAAGGTTATCCTGATCGTCACTGTCTTCACTGAGCTGTTAGCTGAGCAGCGGGGATATTAAAACTAAAATGGTCCAAAAAAACCTGTTCAGGAGATTTCTACCAGTCCTACGCGAGAAGCCACACCAAATGGTAAAGAGCACAGTGAGTAATAACCGAGCAGCATGAATGAGACACTTCCTGTGCTGCAAAGGCGAGGTCACGAGGTCCAGACAGAAATGTCAGAGGGGTCACAGCTTCCTCTCAGTCACTCCAAACTTCCTAATGAGCCTACAGTAGTCAAAGGTTGGCCCCCATTGTTTGTATTTGTGTGAGGGCAGTGCTGATGTTTCTTCCTCATTAAAGACCATATACAATACAGAGGCATAATAATAAGATTTCAAACACTGGGTGAATATTAGATGCAAATGAAACCTGTACACCGATTATGGCAGAAGTTTCTATAGGGCATCTTTCCACCAACTCCAGGCTGGACTAAGCCTTCAGCAAAGAGAATCAAACTATGGAGAAAGCCCCTGGCTGACCCTGGTACAGTTTAAGGAAGGCATTGCTTCGGTAAACAGGACCGCCGTCAGAAGTTACGCTGAGACAGCTAATCCGAGGACACCTCTGCTTCACGTCTCATCTTCCCTGGCAGCCAACATGTGGGTGTTATTTCACTGGACGGTGCCAAAGACCAAGACTGGCTTCCTCCTGGGCCCCAGCTCCATGACGGTGTCACATCTGAGGCATTAAGGGTCAAAATAAGGATACATAAGCATTTTCATATCAGCTGGAGACTTTTTTTTTTATCAACTAATTAAGAAGACAAACACGGTTTAGGGTATGGGTGTCCACACCTTGGCTAAAAACGGGGTTCAGCTCGAGGCTGAACTTTTAAAAGTTTACTCTTCAATTCTCCAAGTGATTAATGTCCAATGCCTGTTGTGGTCCTTCTTCCTCATTCAATGTTAGCTGTATTTCAAATGAACAATCAGAAAACCATTGGATGACATTTTCTGTCAAAGGGAGTATATTTTGTGGCAGCTAATACTCATAGTGGGGGAAGAAGTTGAAAAAAAAATATATATATTTTTTTTTCTTATTAAACCTAAAATCTGAACTCAGGAAGGAAAAAAAAAAGTAGAAGAAAGAAACGGAAAGACACAAAACGATATATATGCTGGCTGATCAGACCACTAACAAACAGTAGGGGTAACTACACTGAATACAACTGCTAACTGCACTAGACACCATACGTAGATAAGTGGTTAATAAATTAAACAACAAAAAATGTAAAGAAAAAGTCTTAAACATTACATTTTCATTTAAACAAAAAAGCTTGTTTAATTAAAAGAAACTGCAAGTCCCCTCGCCAACAGGAACTGGTGGTACAGTCCAATCAGCGCAATGTATTTAAATGTGCTCAGCCCTAGCCAGGACTTTTTTTTAATTATTATTTTAAGCAACTCCCAGCGATCACAGCAAGTAAGTTCTGATAAAAGAAATAAGAATGAATCGTCTATGAAGAAATTAAACCATGGGTCGATAAAAAGACATAAGCAAACTGAATGTACACTCTTCCAAATAGAACAAAACTAATTCTTAGATTTTGTCATTTTGTAAACACAAGTGTATACAAAAAGAAATTTCTTTAAGTACAGCTATCTAGACTATTTCCTTTTTTAAAGTGCAGCCTTGATAAAGGTAAGCAGCAGTGATAAAAACATTATGATGAAAAAAAAAGTTTTTTTGTTTTTTTTAATAATCCATAACCAACCAATAAATATTTCATTGCAAACTAAAGTGGTGTGAAATTAAATGAACAGTGCATAAGGGAGTTAATAACTTTATTGCAGTGTGGCAATAGGTTTGACCATCGCATGCATAGATAGCTGCCCCAGAGAGCTTAGCTAATACACTACTAAATATCTGATTGTGATTGAACATTGCTTTTATTTTATGTAGTTTTTCTTTGATGTATGTATTTTTTTCATAGAGAATAGAATCTATCAGAGATGCATAAAAATATGAGAGTAAACATGCTAGCAATTAGATCAGTTTGATGCCTTAACTTGTAACTTACTACTACCCACAACACTCTTCAGTGCAGATGTCATTATTAGATAAAGAATTCCCAATGAGGCATTTTAAAAGTATAACAAAACTTAATAATAACAAAATGCAATTTTATATCTTTTTTATATTAATTTATCTTACGTTTTGTAGATTTAAGCCGTTTTTTATCTTACAGCATATATTTTAATAAGGTGTTTGACTGATACCTAAATGAATCTGATAATTTGAGAAAGTTCCAAACATCCTTAAACTTTTTCTGTCTGGTATAGATCCACTAAAAGAGTTTGTAATTATCTAAAGATTGTTTATAATTCAAGATCAGCTGGGAATATAATCATCTCTCCATTTATATTTGATCATTTTTATATTAATATACATTTTTCAATATAACAAATTATAAAATAAATAGCATGAATCAACATTAAAAAATACATCTTAAATTTTTTGTTTATACATGTGAAAAATTATTGGCAGATTTATGTTTTTATTTTCTAAGGGAGAAGAAAATATTTGGAGTCATGAGTCTGACAGCAGGATTGCAATGTTCCGACCCCGAGGTGTGACTTGTGGCAGGATCCTGAGAAACCAAACTCTGGTCAGAAGTCCAGATCGGAGACTCTTAATAATTTTGTTTTCTACCAAAAGAAAGTTACAAGAGATGGTGAAGAATATCATTGTTGTTGTTTTTTTTTTACTTATTCACCCAATTTTAATATCATTAAATAAAGCATAATGAAGGAAGAAGAAATGTGGAAGCAGTGAAACCTGAGTTCTGGTTCAAATCGTTCCTCATGGTGGTGGAGACTTAACACACACACACACACATATACAGACACACACCTCTTGGCCCAGACCATGTTCTGCTGTAACATCCTGCTGCTGCAACAACACGCCTCCCAGAGGAGAGACCCTCAATCCAGCTTTCACACAGACAGCTCCCTAACCTCACCATTCCACAATCGTGATTCATGCGTTTAGCTTCCACCACATGATCCAGCCTATAGCTGTAACTATCCACGCCACACCAACGAGGAAACCCTGGATAAAAAGACAGACAGACACTTACTCGATACACATGGAAGTGTGCCATGAAGGGGAATGCTTTTTTCAGCTTGTCGATGCGCCGCATGTTGAATTCCTTCCTCCGAATCAGAGGGGAAAATAAAGTGCAAGTGGATTTAAATAGCTGTGGGTGCTGGATTGTCCTTTAAAGCAATAATGAAGCCATGGATTAAAGTTACAGGCCTCTGGTGGAAGTCTGGGATGTGCAGACAGTCTTTCGAAGTATACCCAAAGATCTCATCCTGTGAGAGGGAAGAAAACTTCCTGCAACTTGGTAATGTTCCATGGCAAGAGAGTCCCCATGTAAGCATTTCCAGTTCAGCTCCAAAAACAAATTAAGTATAGCTCTGACACATGCAAAAAAGAAAAATGAAAATGTCTGATTATATCAGAGAGAAAGGCTGTGGGATGGAACAGCTACCCAGCTCTGCCCTCTGCTCCATCCAGCATGTGCAGACAGTAATGAAACAGTTATTTAAACTTGCAGAACTTCACAAATAAGACACTCCTCCTTCCTCCAGTCCTTCCTATTCATTGACCTCCCCCTATCCCCTCCTCTCAGCTCCCTCTCCAACGCTCAGCTTTGCATATGCAACAACTGTCTGTTTCCTTTTCCATCCCTCCATCTAGCGTGGAACTAAAAATAGAGAAGACTTCTCCCCGATTCAACTCCCCTGCAATTGGAGAGACGTTGGCAAGCATTAGAGGAAGACAGACAGTTTGGATTGACAGTTATTTAAGGACAAGAAGCCAAACGTGTTCCACTTCTTGATAGAATGTTTGTGCTTTCAACTTATGTGTAATTGTTCTCATGTTAATTTGTTCTACCTTCTTCTGATCTCTTTCTACTCCCCCCCACCCCCACGACGTCCTGCAAGCAGAGAGTCTGTCCATGCAGAACAGAACAGAACAGAACAGGGCAGTGCGTGGTGCAGAGGACAGAGGCTTCATGGTGCTCAGCCCAGCAGAGCATTTGATCCAGGGCCAAAGGGTCACATTCAACTGCAGGACTGGGGGCTTTGCTTCCTGTGATGCAAGGGCCCAAACACAAAAGCATACACAGGCAAAAAGTACACGTACAGTGCTTTGTAAAAAGTATTCATAAGCTTTGAACCTTTCCATATTTTGTGAAATCAAAACCATAATTTTCTTTATTTATTTTAAGCAACACATCAGATCACAGTAGCTCAGGATCTTGAAAGTAAGAAATAACGTCTGGTTTCTCATTCAGCTCCTTTAAAACCAAATATTGCTGGGACAAACAAATTGGGTTTTTGGAGGTGTAAAAGTAAATGAGCAATCATCAAAATGTGCATAAAATGTTTTTTACTACTTACACTTTTATATTTCAATTGAAATAAAAAGGGCTGTGGCTTAATACTTTTAGAACACGCCTGCACTGCCATAGAACAAAAAGGCATATATATATATTTATATAATATATATAATTTTTACACAGGTAGAACCCTCCAGAACAAGAATTAAAAATCTTTGAAGGTATGCCATAAAAAACAACAGAAGGTAGTTCATTTCAGGTGAAAAGGTCACTGATTTGCACTTTTACATTTACATGTCAAACGTTAAAATGTTAGCTTAATTAGATATTGATGATATTGATATTAGATATTGATATTAGGTATTGATGATCCATGTGGGAATTTTTCAAAACCTCCGCTTCGTAACCTGAGAGGGTCAGATCTGTCAGCGAATAAGTCATGTGACTCATCAGAGTGCTGCTTTACAGCAGTCTTAAACACGAGGGCTGTGTTCAAACGTCTGCCCTAACCCTTAGATCCCTCAATCAGTATATAGAGAAGGGGTCCTCAACGTTTTCCAGGCCAAGGACCCCCAAACTGATAGCAAGATAGACTGGGGACCCCCTAATTATATATATTGTATGACATTGTTTTATATGAAACTGGTCCAATAGTCACCCTATTACAGATGGAGTAATGAAACAAGTATTTCTGATTCTTATTCCTCATGGATGGGACAGGTGTTCTGATTGAAAAGGTGCCCAGCTTGAAAGAGCTTCTGTGTGTCGCTGAATGTGTGCATTGATGACTGAAAGACATCTTCTGCCTCCTTTAATCTGTTAACTACAGTGTGTCGAATTCATGTTAATGTGGATTTAAAGACATTTCAATTAAGGGAAAAAATTGCAGGGGGGAATATAAAAAAAAGTCTAATCAACCAAAACTTTCATGACCCCCATGCAGTACCTCCGTGGACCCCCTAGGGGTCGCGGACCCCTTGTTGACGACCTACGATATAGAGCAAGGACTATATAGTGGACTTTGTTGTGAACTCAGTTAACTGACCGCTCTGACAGATGATTGCTACTTTTCGCTCCCCAGTGTTTACGTGACTCCACTTCCTTGCCTGCACCATCTTTGTTATTTGTCGCGGCTGTCGGGTAGCAACAGCGAGCCTATGCAACAACAAATCCCATAACGCTTTGTAAGAGAGAGCTCTTCTCACAAAGCATTCCGGGATATATCTGCTCGCCTAGTGAACAAGGATAATCACTACTTTTCAAGGTGCATTATAGGAAATTTTGAGTCAGCTACGTTTTCACCCAAGAGACCATTTGAACACTAATTTAAAATGGCCTAGCCACTGTATAAAGAACTAAGTAAGTTAGGAGTTGTTGTTGAGCAACAAAACAGATGCGACACGTTCCTGATCAGATATATCTTTGGTTCTCTGAGGTAGGATTTAATTTAGGGGGATGAATATGACCTTTTCTTTACAAGTATTTCAGTGACTTTTCAATCTGCTATCAGATTCCAAAACACTGGAGGAGGACTGTTTAATTTTGTGACAGTGCAGTGTTGCTAGTTTCTTTCTGGTGCACTAAACCACAGCCCTAGCGCCCCTAGTGGCTAAAAGTTACATAGTGTTTATTTAAAACTAACTTTCACATGGAATTGCAAAGGTTCACCAAAGTTGAATCCACATTGGATACTCAACAATTAGGGCTGTACAATTTTACAAAAAATCAGTAATGCAATTTTTGTTTTTTAACCAAAAGGGCAATTGTAATTTTTTTTTACATTTTGAAATTCACCACAAAGCTATAGATTTTCAGGCTTCATTGCATCATTATTTTACAGCCTAACTGCTTTCTCGTCAGGAGTCCATTTTCATAAACTTTACTGTTGTGTGGAAAAGTGCTATCTTCTAGCTGGATCTGTGGGATAGCAGTATCTGTCTCTTCGTTTGTGGAGGAGCAAACCGATTTTAATTACATTATCTTCTACCTAAATCGAGTGTATCAAACCATAATTATATTGCAAATGCAATTAATTGCCCAGCTTTATCAAGAATCCTATGTAGTCATAAGCAATATAACTTAAGTGCTGCCCCCCTGAAAACATTAGGTCCCTTTGTTCACTTAGAAAGTTTCCTCTTTGACCCTCTGGACCCATCCACTTAAAACTGAAGAAAAAGAAGTTGGTCTGACCAGCTTATAAATGGTGATTCTTCTTTGGCCATGGCAGCTCGGCGTAGTCTCATGTCATGGTCATACATTTTTCTCTAGTTTTTTTAAGTATAAAATCTGATCCATACAATACATCTTTATCTTGCCTCAAAAATAGACCCACACAAACATTTGGTAGTAACAGCTGTTATTCAACAAGAAGGCATCTAAAAAGATCCAATTCATGAAGGAAGAATCAAATACAATCCACACTGTTCAGATTTGTATCCATAAAATACCTTAAACCTGCTTCTTTCAACATGAACGTTAAAGGTTTTTCTATCACATGAAATCCCAGCTAAAATATTGCTGTTTATGGCTGTATAACATAACCAATCATGTATAATTAAAATAAAATCAAGGGGTCTGACAGCATGAGGTGTTGTGGATTTTGATTGAGAGTTTTCTGACACATTTTTCTTTCCCCCATCATGTCTCATTCTGGATGCAGAATAGACTGCTGGGTCTCACTGTACAGAGTGTCTGTCTCCACAGGGAATCACTTTTCAAATCAATAACGTGCAAGTCTGCTTTCTACAGTTACTGATGTACTTTTAGAGATAAGCTGGAGAATATTGACTGAAAACTCACAAATTTTGCAAAGGTTCAAGGTGCAGAACTTTTGTAAAGCACTATATCTCTGAAAGTTATAAAACAGAACAAGTACAGAAGAATTTTTCTCATAAAACCCACAGTGGGCTGCCCTGCTCTGCTTCAGTGGAGGTTTTTTTTGTTTTGAAACCCCTGCCGTCACCGTTCTCCTCCCTCATTTCACGAATCCCTCCTTTTCCTCCCTCACGAGGCTCCTGCCAAACTGTTGTGCTTTCTCCTTTATTTGGTGCTGCCTTTGATTTCCTGCCTATAATCCCCCTCAAAAATCTTATCTCTCTTCCAGCACTGTACCGACTGAAAACAAAGTCCCATACCAGATGCTTTGCAGTCTATTTTCACCAGAACAGTTTAAGCTTCACTGTGTCCAGTTCAGATTTTAATCCGTTCTATCTGATCCGTTTCTCCTTGGAAAATACTCCATTAACCTAAACTGTCATTTAAGTCATTTCCTTTTAATCCTGCTCTTTGTGTTCCTCTGCTTTGTTTTCATGTGATTTTAATGAGGAAGTTTTATGTGTACCAGGGGTGCATTTAGTTTGCTTACAATTAAGTTTTGCTTGTTCTTTTTTTTGGGGGTTTGTGCTTCATTCCTAATGAAAATTAATTTGTGTTGTATGAAAAAGAAACTGTAGAAAATATTTTTTTTTAATGTCAGAGTAAAGGACTGGTGAGTTTTATAAGATGCATTTAACAGTCTGATTTTATATTAGATTTTTATATTATATACAGTATAAGATTGAGAAAGAACAGCCTAGTAAGGTTTATGGCATAACATTTATGACATAATGTTTACATTGGAACAGTAATGTAACAGACTTTTATAGGAACCAGATGATGAGAAGAGGCTACATTACTTTAAATCTACAGCTGCTAAACAGTCTGTAACTGGGTCCTCACCTGAAGCACAAATTTATAAAAGCCTGAGTGTGTACAACTGTTTTTCCTCAGAAGGTTTAGCCATTGAAGTTGTAAAGAATATATACCAGGAAAGCTGAATATTTTCTTGTTTTTTAGCAGAAGTCAAAGTATAAGGTCAATGTGAAACCAAGAGAAATAAAGCCTGAAAAAGGATTTATAAGAAATCTCTGTAAGGATTTTCACGTTTAGTTTTCAATGATGATCAGCAGCTTAGATGCTAAATGATTAGATTTGTTCCCCCGTTCATTGGATGCATCAAAACTAAACAACCCTTTGATGCCCTTACTTGACTACGATACAAATCAGATAAAATTTAAGAGATAAAGCCTTTGTTGAAGCAGTGGGGGTATTCTCAAAATCATCTTATTTTCCATTTGATCCATGCTCTACTTTTTGTGTCAAGGCTTTAAAATATTTTTCCAGCAA